TGTGTTTTTCTATTTGGTATGATTTCTGGAATGTCTTGCGGAATCCCTAATCCCCAACAAGTGGTATCAGAGCGAGGTGGTGAAAAACAGAGTGTTTTTCTAAAATGGCCCAGAAATCAAGTTGCTCAAAATTGAGTTTTGAGCATACCAAAAGGTTTATCTCGAAGAGTGGAATCTAGACCCAGAAAAACTAGACCAAAAAGAAGTGTCACGCGCTTCCACGCGCGCCATGAAGTTTCGATGGAGTTGGCTGGAAAGGTGTCGGAAAACTCGGTCTAGCTGGCAAAGTTGTAGGTTGAAGACGTCCGAAGTTTTTATATAATATATATTTTATTAAGAAAATATAGCCAACAAATATCTGGGTGGCAGAGTAGGTAAGCAGCGTGAATCTTAGCTTGAAGTCAGGAGTTTGAACCTTGGGCAGTGCAAGGTGATTGTATTTTATTTTTTTTTAAAGTTGAGGCTGATGCAGAGGTAACATTAGCAGCGGGTGGGTCGCCTAGACCCGAACCAAGAAGTTAATGCTTAGCATAAAATACAAACTCCCAGTAGTTTCACAAATAGAAGACCAACGCTCGAGCGCAATAATGGTCGCTCGAGCCAACACCGCTCGAGCACAAGAAATGACACTCCAGCGAATGAGCAAAATTCTGGGCAACAGACGTTTGAAAAATAAGCTACCAACCTGTTTCAAACACGACCAACACATCCCAAAAGCTAAACTCAAAGAGAAGTAGAGGGAAACAAGACATGAACAATAGTATAAGAGAATGAAACCCGGATCCAAAACATCAAATAGGTCGGGTCAAAACTAGAAACGCTATAAAATTTTGTCTCTAAAAGTCAAATTTTGACTTTTCCAGATGCACCATTTGGGACAACCTTGTGACGAAAAAAATTAGTTGGCTAAAGCTTTTTCCGACAAATATTACACTTTTAGGGACGGAATAAATTTGTCTCTAAAAAGTTGATTTCTTGTAGTGTATACCCAAGCTTGGGATTGGTAGAGTTGTTAAGTAACCCCAGCGAAGTTCTTCAAAAAAGATAAAACCATGTGAAAATTATATGTTTTCTTTTTAATTTTGAAGTTTTTACACCAAATTAGTTTGATATCATTTGTTAGTCTAATTGGGTCTAAAGTCTAATCTTATGAATGTTATATATCATGCCTCCAATAATATATGTTTCGGCGAATTACACTAATAGTCTCTATAATTTGGGACTCGTGTCATTTTAGTCCCTAACATTTCAATTGTGATACATTTGACCCTGAATTTTGAATCTTATTCCAAATAAGAACAATTGAAGATATCATTGCTCAATTTTAAGGACAAAGTCGTCAATTTGATAAAATATAAACTAATTTGACAAAAATAAATATCAAAAAAATATTTTTGAATTTTAAAAAATTATTTCTACCTACCAAAAATAAAATTATGTAGAATTGATAAATCTTTTACGCATTTATTTATTTAATTTTTTACCAAATTAATTTTTGTTATGTGCTTAGATAATGATCATGTAATGTGTGGTTGTTAGGCTTTTAATGTGTAATCGATATATTTAATACATGAAATGTTTTTAGTTTAGATTTTTTTATTTAATAGATTAGTTAATATTGATATCAAAGTGTCGCCATATTTGACTTTTGAAAAATAGAGACTAATTTAATAAAAATAAAAACAACCACACATTACATGATCACCATCCAAACGCATAATAAAAATTAATGTGGTAAAACAAATAAATGTGTAAAAGATTTATCAATTTTACATTTTATCTATGGTGGTTAGAAATAATTTTTAAAAATTCAAAAATATTTTTTTGACATTTATTGTACGTATTGAAAGTAATTTTGAAAGAAAAATGTTTCAGACTACTAATTCACACCACTAATAGACTACAAATGATGTGGCGGACATGAACCCTACTACTAATGTGATCGTTTGGCCTTTGTTTTTTGTTTTTTTTCTTTCACTGCGAGCTCATTAGAGCTGGCATTAATACTCCAAAATTAGAGCACTGAGTGCTGATTTTGAAATGACAATTGTTTAAAATATAGTAGGAATCTTGAACATTGAAAACTCTTTATTGATTTGGGGATCCTATTATAGGCAACAAAATCAAAATTTATTCTTCTCTTCACATATAAGGAACGAGGAAAACTAAAAGAGCAATAATAGCCCAAAATCAGTCCCAAATATACTCCATCCAAACTTGACATTAAAATTCCTAAAATCAAGTCATTTAAAATTTGTATATGTGTATATACATAAATGTATAATGTGAGAGAGAGAACATCATTGTTTAACCATCAACATGGAACCATGAACATATACATTCCAGTCCATCTCTGTAATGCAACCCGCAGTTTATATCAAATATATAGAGAGAGAGAAAGAGAGAGGGTAAAATCCCACTCATTTCAACACAAGGTATCAAACTATAAGAACATATTAAGGAAAGAAGAAAAATAGAGAGAAAAAAAGAAAGAAAGAGGCAAGTTTTTTGGTATTCAAAATTCAAAAACTGTTTTTGAACATTTTGTTTTTCATGCTTTTTTTTTTTAGTTATTTTTTTCATATTTTTTCACAGATATTTCACCTTGCAAGTGCATCTAAATTATGTATAGCATTGTTCGTGAATAAAATATGAAAAAAATTCAATGAAGACATATAACACAAAGAAAGAAAAAAAAAAAAAAATTCAAAAACAGTTTTCAATCAAAAACTAAACAGGCAGCCTCGCCTTGGTTGCTTCTTCCGACGTTTTTTTCCAGTTTGTGTCTCATCATGGGTACCAATGGATTCTTCATTTTCTTCAAGAGCAAACAAGCCTGTAATCTCCTCTTTCTTCTCTTCCTTATCTTCTTCATCCTTCATGATTTTCTTAGGCCTTCCTCTCTTTTTCTTTTGATCTTTTGCACTGGAAATACCTTCAACAACATTATTATCACTCCCGTCCTCTGCCTTTGGTGCTTCCATTGCAACTCACTAGCAAGGAAACAAGAAGCCTCTCTAGCTGCTTATATGGTATATTGAAAACTTTATTGATCTATATATAACAAGTAGCTAACATTAACGGATGAATTGCACTAATAGTCCCTCTAGTTTGAGTTTCGTATTATTTTAGTTTTTGACTTTTCAATTATGACACATTTGACCCTGAATTTTAAATCTTGTTTCAAATAAAAATAATTGAAAATATCATTGCTCAATTTCAAAGGCAAAGTCGTTAATTTAATAAAATATAAATTAATTTGACAAAAATAAATGTCAAAAAAATATTTTTGAATTTTTAAAAATTATTTCTATCCGCCAAAGATAAATCTATTTAAAATTAATAAATCTTTTACACATTTATTTTTTTTTTACCAAATTAATTTTTATAATGTGTTTGGATGATAATCATGTAATATGTGGTTGTTAGACTTTTAATATGTAATCGATATATTTAATATATGAAATGTTTTTAGTTTTAGATTTTTTGATTTAATGGATTGGTTAAATAATGATATCAAAGTTGTCGCCATATTTAACTTTTAGAAAAATAGAAACTAATTTAATGAAAATAAAAATAATCACCCGTTACATGATCATCACCCAAACACATAATAAAAATTAATTTGGTAAAATAAATAAATGTGTAAAAGATTTATCAATTTTACATAATTTTATCTTTGGTGAGTATAAATAATTTTTAAAATTTTGAAAATCTTTTTTTGATATTTATTTTTATCAAATTAGTTTATATTTTATCAAATTGATGACTTTACCCTTGAAATTGAGCAATGGTATATTCAATTGTCCTTATTTGAAACAAGTTTCAAAACTTATGGTCAAATATGTCACAATTAAAAAGTCAGAGATCAAAATGATACAAATATCAAACTATAGAAACTTTTAGAGTAATTTGTTCAAGATTAAAATTTGTGGAATTTGCTTGACATATAATTAACCAAGTTGTCTACACCACTTGATTTTTTATTTTTTATTTTATAACTCTGGACGCAATTCCTTTTGAAGTTAGATCACACAATTATGGGATCCTGCCTAGTTAGATTAGACACCCAAACAAAGTTTCGAGTTGCTCTCTATCAAAAAGTTTAGTCCTAACTAGTGTTTAAGAATATTATTGGTTCGTTCTACATTTCTAGCTTTTATATGAATTTATATTTTATACTAGCATAATATCGCTACTATGCACAAATTCACATAAATAACTAAAATTAATTTTAAAATTAAAAAAAAAAGTATTTTTAGAATGTACAATAAAAACGGTTTATAATTAACTTTTTTTTTTTTTTTTTTGTATGTGGTTGTTTTATGTAATTGTATGTTCTAAATATTAAAATAACAAAAACATGTGTTATATGGTAAATTTTATTTTGGACTTTTTATTTAGAAAAATGTTTGGGAGCTCTAAATTGGGAGCATTAAAGAAGCTTTAAAGAGTAGGTCTCACTGACTGATGTGATGTTTTGGCCTTAAGTTTTTTTTTTCTTTTTTTTTTGAATTTCCACCTCATTAGTGGTTCATTAGTGCTCCCAAATTAGTGGGATGCATAATGTTGTTTTATTTAAGGATTTAAAATTTTCAGATAAGACGTGACTAAAAGATGGACAATATTCTATTTTGAACTTTACATTTAAAGGTTAGACAAAAAAAATTATTTTTGATTTTGATTTAAATATTTTAAATTTTCAAATGAAGTTTGAGATTCTATTTTTGGACTTTCCATTTTTAAAAAATTCAAAATTTGAAATTAGATATAGCTAGATGAGTCAATAATTATATGCCACATATTTTTGGATAAATTGCATTGACCTCCCTTGAAGTTTAATTTTTTGTAGTGAGCCTATGCGTCAGAGCAAATCCTTCCTATTGGCCTATGCTTATATGTTCCAATACATTGGATTCCAAATGATGGGCATTACCACCGAAAGCAAAAAGAGAAAAGAGAAAGCTATACAATTGGCAATATTATATTAACAAGTTCAAAGAAGGGGAAAAATGTTTCATGAGTTGTATTACAAAAGTAAAATAATATGTTTACCCACCCACACAAACATATAACATCAAATTAAACCCATCGTATGACATCAACAAGGGTACCTTTGATTCTCCAAGGACTGCATTGAAATGATCGATTCTGCACAAGGGAACCGGATGAAGAAGATGATGATAAGCTTAAAGAACTTAAATTACGAAGTTTCGCTACAGATTCCCTGTTAGAGCTGGAAGACTCCAAGTTTTGAGAATTATAGAAGATAGATTTGAGAACTTTCTTATTTTGTTGGTTTTTATTCTTTTTCTTCCAAAACCAAAGCCTTGACATGGTTGAGTCCTTAGGTTGCTCAATCTCAATACATGGCCTAGGTAGACCGTGGCTCTGCACTGCCGGTGGAGGGCTAGGTGGTGGAATGACTTCATTTTTTATCGGATCTTTGGACTTCCCTGGCTGCATTTCCCATTTGAAGGGAACCCCTTCAGTGCTCCGATAATACATACGAGAAGACTGGCCAACTGAAGAATTTCTTGAAACAATTTTGCTGAGGATGAAACCATTACCTTGAGGCACATAAACTGCCTTACATGTGCTGCAATAACATGTAATTATGTTCCCTTCACTCTGTTTAACATTTCAAGAAAAACACAAATCATCAATTTTTTGAAAATATTTTGTTTTGATGTTTCCACAAACTATGAGGCATATAGATCTTATGTTCTAGGCCAACTACTGATTTTTTACATAATGACAATCACTAAAATGGTCCAATAAATTTTTTTTTGCTTCCTGATTTGTCGGTAATAATAAATAGGGTAAATTTCACTTTTAACTTCTATAGTTTGACTCAAATTTCACTTTGGTCTTTATTGTTTCAATTTGAACAGTTTAGTTCTTACACTTCAAGTCCAATTTCAATCAACTTTTTTGTACCTATACACACTTGAGGAGATTGATATGTTTCTTAAAATCATTCATTTTACCCTTCAACTTGAGCAAAAGGACCAAAATGGAACTAGAGTTAAAAATGTATGGAGCAAATTGTTCAATTTGAAACAATATCGACCAAAATGAAATTTGGGTCAAACTATAGGGATTGAACATGTAATTTACTCTAATAAATATTAGTTTTAAGGCACAGAAAATATGATTTCATTTATTTTCCACATAATTGTTTTTAGTCAATTTTTAATGCATGCTTGATTCCAATAGTTGCAACTTGCACGGGACATGAACATAATTTATTGTTTAACATTCAAATCAATTGTACACAAATTCTAACAATTATACTAGTTTGCATAGTTGAATATAAAAAAAACTTCCAAAAAGTGTTACAAACTTAACCTCTGAGCAGGAAGATGACGATAGCTAGTTATAAACAGTACATGCTATTTGGTCATATGAGTTGTTAATCTTGTGCTAGTAATGAAGAAATATGTATTCTATACTTGAACTCAGAGCTTTTAATGTAATGTCTTTAGATATATACATGTAGTTTTGTGGGGATGGACAGAGGATGTAGTATGTGTTCAGTTTAGTTTTTAGATTGGTAGAATGTGATCTGATTAGCAGTTGCGTCACTCCAAATTTTGATTCACGTACACATATTTATTATATTATATAATGTGTTGGTGTGAACACCGTCACATTTTTTATTTTTCTTAAAAATGTTCTTATTCAGTAACTGTTACTTCTTTTTACCCAGTAATTGTCACATTCAATAATTGTTAGAATGATTTTTCTCTATTATCAAACCGTCCAAAACTGCTAATCAATTTTCCTCAATTATCAAACTACCCAACAAATCTTCATCGCCCCAACATACGTAGGTAGGGGAGATGTTTTCCTTTCCTTTTCTTTTTTCTTTATTTATTTTGTTTTTATGGGAAGAGAGATGTATATTGAAAATGTAATTGTGTGGATTGAAGTGTTCAAAGGTCATCTAAAACTGTAGTGTGCTCTGGTTTCTACATGTAGATGCATAGATTGCTGCATGCAAGCATAGACCCTTAATAGGATGAGTTGAGAACTAAGCCAGACTATTATTTGAGTTTTTATACTTCTCCCTATTTTTACTGTTTTCTAAATTTACCAACATTCAAAATAAGTCTTTATTTATTAAATGTTTTAATGTGTTCTAAAGTAAATCTCCTCATTCACAAAAATATTTGATATGTATTACAATTGGTATAGATAATAAATACTAAAAAAAAATAAAAATAAATCAAACACAAATAGTAAACACTAACCAGTATTTTTGTGATGTTCCAATGACCGCAAACAAGAGGCCCATCCAACTGATCCCTTTGAAAAGCCGGACAATTTGAGGAAGACGATGATGATGAAGAAGACGAAGAACTTGAATCATGAGGTGAACCCACAAATTCTCTCTCGGAGTTGAAGACCTTTGAGCTTTCGAAGTTATCAGAACCCGTGCCATTGACATTCTTTTTCTTGATTTTCTTCCAAAACCAGACTGTCCACCGGTTAGAGCCCTTATTATTCGATTGATCAACAACACAAGGCTTAGGTAGCCCTAAACTGTGCACTGCCGGAGGAGGGGTAAGGGGTGGGATGACATCATTTTCCGGTGGATTTTTAGGGGTTCCGGGCTGCATCTCCCATTGAAAAGGAACTCCATCAGCATTCCTGTAATATATATGAGATGATTGGCCAATTGAAGATTGTCTTAAAAGGAGTCTATCAAAGTAGAACCCATCACCTTGAAGTACTGTTGTTAATGGCTTCTTTTGTGCATTGTTGCTGTCGTTATTATCCATTTCTTGTGATTTAGCTGAAGTTGAAGTATTTTGAAATGTTGTTTCAAAGAGTTTGTAGGTTTGTTGAACTGGTGATGATATCAATACTTGTTCATACATGGAGCATAGAGGATATGATATTGAGGTGTTGACTATTGAAAGGTGCTATAAAAAGTTAAATTTGACCACTTGCAAATATAAAATATTTGGATAGATTGTTTTGTTTAGTTTAATTTTCATAATTAAGAGCTTGGAAATTTTATTATTTATATTACATTCTGGGCACATACTTATAGTAGGTTAAAGACGTATAACATTTTTTTTAATATCAAATAGACAGTGAAATTTGAACATAGTATACTTTTCGGTAAATAAAAAAAAAAAAAAAAAAAAAAAAGAAGTATTCATACAAAAATATTAACCACCAACTCATTTAAAAGTTTAAGCTATTGAAGAAATGGACAACTTTATTATATTATATTCTCAACAATTTTTATGTAATTTTCTTTGGGGCATATATAATTTATATTTACTTTTTGTCAAATTAATTTTTAATTTCTTTAAAAAACAATTTAAAATTTCAACCAAACAGTGAGAAGACAGTTTAACTTTTAAAAGTTTGAAAATTTTTATACAAAATTCTTAACCAAATAACATAACAGTGACAATTTTGAAATAATAGACACAAAACCATATCTTTCTTCTTTCATAACAGGATGGTAGATGATGTGGCTATCAAGGTGGACTATTTTTATTTTAAAAAATATCATAGATATTTTATCTTGTATAAATTTTCTGTATGATTTATATTTTTATATCAAACCTTCATTTTTAAATGGCCAATAATGGAGTATTATGCGCATGAACCTCTTGTTTTGACGGCGAAGGAGCTAATTTTGATACGCGTGGGATCAATGTTTTTCATTTATTTTTGGGAAATCACACCTTTACTTCTTATAATTTCATCTGAATTTTATTTTGACTCATATTATTTTAAATTAAATAATTTAATTTTTACGTTTTAAGTTTAATTTCAATTTGACCCTTCTATTTAAATTCAATATTAAAATTAAGGATAAATTACGACGGTAGTCCCTATAATTTGCTTCTTACATTATTTTGGTCTTTATAATTTCAATTGATTCTATTTTGACTCTAAATTTATAAATTTGTTTTTAGTTCAATTGATTACTACTCTTAATATTTTTTTAATGAAAATACCCATACAAGTGGCATTTGTCATATTTTTAAGGATAAAATAATAGACTTATGTAACTCAGTGAGTTAATTTCAACTAATTCAGTAATAATTTTCTGTCAAAAATACTAATGGCATTATCAATTGGACCAAATTGACATAAAATCTAAAATTAATGGTCAAATTTGAGCCAATTAAAAATAGAGTTAATTACTAAAAAGTCCTGTTTACATATTTGGTGGTAGCTTAGGTCCTGTCAAAAAGTTTTTGAACCAATAAGTGTCATTTATAGGTAAAAAGACGTTTTGCCCTTTAATCCCAAAACTGAGAATATTCTCAATTTTCAAACAGAGAATGATTTCAGTATATAATTATCAAAATTAAAAAATTTCTGTATGGATTTTGAGAAAAGAATGAGATTGAAAAGAAAGATAATTCTGCGAATATTCTAAGAAATTTATAATTATCAATTTTGAAAAATTTCTCAATTTTTTCATAATTAAAATCGAGAATATTATAAACTGAGAAGGTTCTCAATTTTAAAAAACTCTCTCTCTATCTCTCAATCTCCTAATTGGTTCTCTCGCCTCAGCTATTCACTTTCTCTCTCCGATTGAAAAACAAAATTTGGAGCTTCTAATTGAAGCTCCCTCTCTCTCTGTGTGCAACAAAATCAATCATCAGTCATTTTTATGGTTGTTAATGGCCGAAACAGAGCAATAATGGACTTATGAGAGAGACCTCATCGCACTGCCAGCACAAGCAGTACCAGTGAACTCTTCATCTGCTTCACTTCTCGCCTCTCCTCTTCTTCTTCCCCGTCTATGAAGATCTCTTCCAAGTCAATCCTCAACCCAGGCCGCGCTCGCGACGCACCTGTCTCTCTCTCTAGCTCTCTCAGCCGCCGACTCAGAACAAACGGCAGCCTCAAAGGTGGCCAATCTCCCATGTTCTCCACCGGAGCCAAGAAACGAGGCTGCGCTGTCGAAAACCCAGAGCCTTCTTCTCCCAAAGTCACCTGTATTAGGCAAGTTCGAGTGAAGACGAAGAAACAAGGGAAGAAGATGAGGTGGTTTGGATGGGTAAATTGGTCTATTAAAAATTAATGGGACTTGAAGGAGCAAATAATTTTATTTAGGACCTAATGGAGTATAAGTTCATAAAATGGGACTTGTATGTAAATGCCCCTTAAAAATATAAGGACCAAAATAATACAATAGGTAAAATGTAAGGACCACTGGTGTAATTTATCCTAAAATTAATATATATATATATATATATATATATATATATTTAAAATGTACATGTAGAAAAATCAATACAAATTTTGACAAAATGACCAAATTAAAATTTAATTTAAAATATAATAATTAAATTATTTAAATTGAGGCCTCGTTTGGCAAGAGGCTATTTTAGCCAATTAGCCAAAAAGCCAACAACCTATACCAAAAAGTCAAAGATTCTCTTTTCTCTCTACTTTTTGCACATCTTTTCGTAATTAGCCAAAAAATCATCCCAAACATACAAGTTTTTTTTACCTACCTTTTTAGCCAAAAATTTAACTAAATTAGCTTGTTCCCAAACAGGGACCTGCAGACAACAACCACCAAAGTATTTTTTTCGTAACTATAAAGTGCAAAGAGTGTTAATTTACCCCTTTTACTTTCGTTTTTTGTGGGCATGATTTACTTGTCTATTAAAGGCCAAGGGTTGGCCTATTGGGTTAATTTCGAACTTTACTGCTACGTAGTTTTATCGTTCTTTATTCCACTCTTACCAATTAAAAAAAATTAAATAAAAATATAGAAGATTTTTTTTCCTTACTTTTCTTTGGAACGACATTAGCTTCTTTAGTCATTGGCAAGCAACCGTAGAGGAAAAGGAAGAAATAACCTTTATTATGAAGGTTACGTTAACCATTTTGACCATGTTGGGAGAGAGAGAGAGAGAGAGAGGTGTTCTCATTCATTCATGTGCAATTACCAAAGCCTTAAGACATGGTTCTCTAGCTTTTCTTTCTTTCTACTTTCCACTCTCCTATTGGAAATACATCTATGCATGCAACAGATGTGTTCAAGAAAGACGTAAGCATGGATTTTTTCATCTCCATCAAATGACAACAATACCCTCACTTGAGTTGCCACTTGTTATGTTGTTATTGGCCATGGTTCATTGACTTCAATTTCATGTTATCCTACTGCAAAGAAAAAAAAGAGGGTATTATTCAGAAACCTTAGGATTGGTACATTGAATATCTGCTACATCTTAATCAATAAATAAAATATATCGTGTGAGTTAGAATTGTAAGAAAAACCAACGAATTCGAACTGAACACTTAAAATCGATCAAAATTTTAATTTTTATATCATACGATCAATTTTGATTTTAAATTTTTTTACAGTAATAAAAATTGAGTTCACAAAAGTATAACATTTAAATATTTTTATTTTAATCTCTAAAGTATTAAAAAATAAGTGATTAATATGATACACTTTCCGTATTAAAAATTATAATTATAACAGAAGACATTTATAGAGTAACTTTAATATTTTATTTATTTATTCTTAATATGAAATTTTACTAATTTTTATAAAACTCTTTAAAATCTTATGTGGATCCCATTTTTACATAAAACCAATAAAATCGAACCTTAACATCATGGCCGATTTTGGCCCAAAGCTGGCAAAGCTGCCGTTGTAGACCCCAAAAATTGAGCAAAAAAAGGGTCTTAATTTTTTTTAGCTATTATAGTAGTCCACAATAAAAATCAATATATTTAAATAAGTTTAAATAAGTATATGTGTATGATCAAAATTTAATTACATAATATTTTAATCACAAAACTTTTTTTTTTTTTTAATGTATGAGAGGCCCATATTAGGATTGGCTCTCAAAATGTCAAAGTAGCCCTACTTACCATACGATTGTGTCGGTTCCTCAACTATAAAAACTAAAATATTAATTTGAAACTAAACTTATTTCAATACAGACCGATGCGAACCGTTTACTCCTATTGGTACGTTGAATATGTACTAAATCTTAATCAATAAATAAAAATATATCATTGACTTCTAGGTTTTTATTATTTAATTTTAAAATACTTTTTAATGCATATGCAAATTGACTAAGCAAGTCAAAACGATTGGAAGAGTGGGTTAATGAGTCACCTGGTTTGTTAAAGTGGGAGTTGGTAAAAATAGTTGTTAAAAGAAAAGAGTGGCCTCCATGTTGAAGTGGAGATGGATGGAAAAGGATACAAAACTTTGTTTTGTTAATTTTTATTAAAATATAGTCAAGTAGGGGATGCAGAATGCAAATTCAAAGACTCCAATCGAAGTGTTCTCACTGGCATCAAGAAAGAATTCGTGATTGATTAGGCACAAATGTTCTGTTCACATGAATTGTTAAGTTACACTTAATTTTTATGGGTATTGGAGAGAATATAATAACCTCGTCAAATTTGTCAAAATTATATTAATTTTTGTTTTAATAATGACATATATAGTGGCATAGGGTATTCAAAACAAATATATAGAGGGATTCATTACAATAAATTAAAATTTTAGAGACAAATTTAAAAATAAAATTACTTTTTAGTGACAAAATATTTTTTTTGTCTTCAAAAATGTTTTTTAGCGATAGAATTTGGCATTTAATGATGAATTACTATCCTTTCAGAATCAAAGGGTATGTTTAGTTTGGTTTTGAGAGAATAGTTTTTAAAAATTGTTTTGAAGAGAGAGTTTATAAATTTTTTTAGTTTGTTTGGTTGTATATTTTGAAAGTAGTTTTGGAGTTTGGAATGATTTGATATTTTGTTATAATTGAATATATGTGTGTGAGAGAAAAAGTAATTAAAAAAGAGAGAGGAGAGATAAAAAGTAATTGATTGATATGTAAGAGAGAAAAAACGATTTTGAAAATTATTTTGGAAAA